TTTTTATGTGATTATTGATCATATTGTGTCTGTATGATATTGCTATGGTTAGTTATTCAATTGATCGAATACTATCAATAGTGTTATCAATTAGTAGACTATATTTTTGTCGTTGTTTTTTGTTTTTGTTCTTAACATAAAAAGTTTCTTCTAGATTTTTTTTACTAATCTTAAAATAAATATTCATTTGTCCTTGAATAGTTCTGATTCATTTTTTTATTTCTTACATAATTTCTATTATTCATTTTAATAATTCAAATGGATACATCAAGTTATACAGGTTTACCAAATAAATTATTTCAAGGTTTAACATCTGTTAAATCAACATTAACAACAAGTCATATACTTGAAAAATCTGAAACAACATATATTAATAATTATGATAAATTTCATCATCATATGGCACGTAGTGTTTTAGGTATTCAAGCACCATTAAAACTTCAAACAGAATTACAAATAGCCAATAAAATTGGTCGTTTACCATGTTTACCTAGTTCACATTTAATGCTTGATGTTTTACGTGGTACAAATGAAGATATATCATTTAATGATATATTAAATAATCCAAAAGAATTTGGTGAACTTCAAATTGATCCACATTTAGCTATGGATAAACATGATCATTTATTTTAACAAAACAAAACATGAAAGACTCGAATAAAAATATAAACATGATCAATTAACATTTCTTTTTTTTTTTACATTGTTATTTTTATCCTCTGATTAATTTCGATTGATGTTAATTTTTCTTTTCCTTTGCAGATATGTGTCTATATTCTAGTTAATTAATTATGCCAAAATATACTAAAAAAAGTAATAAAAAAAAAACAAATTTTTTTTCTCTATAAAAATTTATATTTATATTTTTTAGATCGGCCTCCTCGAAATAGGACGGCAAGATCAGGTGCTGATGATTGTGCATCAATTGATGATGGTGTTAGTACATGTTCAAATATTTCTGATGCAACAAGTATCTATGATGATAGTGATGGTAAGAATATTATACATAAAAAAAAAAATTATTCTCTTAGTTATATTTTAATGTTATTGAATTTCAATAGGAAAAAGAAAAATATCAATGAAAACTAATAGAACAAAAAAAAAAAAAAAAATCTAAACTTATTAATTTCTTCTCTATCGAACTTAGAGCAAAGTTTAAGTCATCAAAATAAGACTGTCATAGGTCAATGATTATATTGTTCGACATGTATTTATAAGGTATTATGTTCGAATCTTGACATTATCAATAAAGATTTATATAATTAAACTTGAAATTTTTCTTTAAAAAATGAATATATAAACTAAATTTACTTTAAACTATAGAACTATGAGTTTGTGAATAAAAAACAATTATATTTTTTAAATTATAGCTTGTTTTTCTACAACAAATGATATTATACTTTCAAGTGAAAGTCTTGATGATAAACTTGATATATCAATTGAAGGACTTCGAAATAAAGAGTAAATATATTATTAGATATATATATATATATATAATATATCTATTATATTATTTTAGTTTAAAAACTCGTGAAAATTCATTACGTACACTTCAAACATTATTTTCTCAAAAATATATAGTTGATCTTGTATCTAGCCGGTATATATATATATATGAAATAAAATATTTTGTAATTTTTTTTTTGAATTTATATATAGAAGTGAAAATTTAATTGAACAATTAATAAATTGTTTAAGAAAAAGTAATGAAATTGAAGGACAATTAGCAGCTATTGTTACATCATTGTTTATAATTCAACTTGGTGAATCAAATGATGAATTATTTATTAAATTTCGTGATGTTATTATGCCAATATTACGAGATGAATCAAAATCTTCATTATTAAGAAAGAATGTATGTTTATTTAATAATTAAAACTAAACAATAATTTTCTTTTATTATTATAGTATGCAAAAGCAATAGGTATTATTTGTTTTGTTGCTTGTGAAGATATTTCAGTAAGTATAAATATAAATTATTTATATTGTAGTTTTATTTATTAAATACATTAATAATTATTTTTATAAAGGCAACTCTTGAATTAATGAAAGCATTAGAAATAATTTTTTCTCGATCATATTTACATGGTGATGGTACAATACCTATATTAAATCATGATTTACAAGAATTACATACAGCTGCACTTTCATCTTGGTGTTTACTTACATCAACTATGCCAAATAATATAACACATGAATTAATACGAACGTAAGTTTTATGATTTTATATATTAAAATAAAATATTAACAAACAATCAGATAAAAAATGAAAATAATGTGTAAAAGATTCCGGATGTTAATATTTAATGAGATTGATTAAACTCCAAAGGAACATTCAAATCGTAGAAAAAAAATTTTGTTTTTTTCGTGCATAGTTTTATCTAATGATTACATACAATTTTCGATAGAGACGATATTTGAGTCTGTTGTTCTACTACAGTTTGTGTGTTAGTCAAATGAAAATTGAATATCAACTTAATGAAGAATAGGAGAGTTATATTTAAGAAGAGCTGAAATATTTCATAGATATTTATGTATTTTTCTTTTGAATAAGTGAAACAACTATAATTTTATTGTATGTTACTAACTGAAAAGAAAAAAAAATAAGTTTTGAAAAATATTGATTCTATATCCAAACATGAGCTAAATCATCTTTGATTTTTTTTTTGGTGGAACATACATTATGTTTTTCCAAGAAAAATAATACGTGTACTTTGATGTCAAAGTCTGAATCGTTCCATTATTAGACCGTAGTTGCTGGGTCAAAAGTTATTGAGTATATTTCCATTTGCACTGCTGATAACGCATATGAAAATTGTCTTCTATATTTTCTTATCAACTAAAAAAAAAAGTGTTGAATGGTATATTAACAATATGATTAATACATTTCCAGGACATTCTTAAGTATTCCTTGAAATTCATATATATTTTTTCAATATTCAAAATAATAATTTGTTAATGATCGATTGATTTGTCACAGTTGTTATATGATTAATAAAATAATAAATATTAGTATTTCTAAGTTTATTGATATAAGAATAGTACCTAGAGTTCTGCCCTTCGATCGAACAAATGTATATAACAGTTCTATTTGTCAATCAAACCAATAGTATGAAGTATTATCATATTTCATTTATTAAAAAAGAAATCGAATAGACAAAAATAATCTATTCAAGATGTTTCATTTTGTATATTTTATATTAATATTATGAAGTTAAAGGAAACATATAAGTTTCATAATTTAATCTCAAAAAATCTATGCTAACAACACGTCTTGTTTTTTTTTTAAAGATATGCACTAACAAAAATTCCCGGTCTTATTGAATCTAATAATGCTGATTTACGTAATCAAGCAGGTGAAACAATTGCTGTTTTATATGAAATAGCACGAGAAATAAATAGTGTATGTATAATTAAAAAAAAAAACTCATATTAATTCTATTGAAAAATTTTGGTTTAGATATTTGCTGAACCACCTGAATCATTATTAATAACATTAGAAAAAAAAGCAAATGAAAGTGCAAAATATAAAGGAAAAAAAGAAAAACGTATACAACATGCTACATTTAGAGAAATTTATAATTCATTTGAAGTATAATTATAAATTTTTATAGAAATTTAAAGTTTATTTATCATTTAGGAAGGTACATCACCAGAATTTGATATTAAATTTGGTCGTGAAACATTAGAAATAACATCATGGACAACTCGACTTTATTATAATACATTCAGTAATTTATTAGCAGCTGGAATGAATGTTCATTTGAAAGTAAGTTTTAATAAGAAAATAACAATGTTCATTTGATAAGTAATAGTAAAGTCCAGAATGATGAAGTTTTTCGATCCTTCGTACTTGAGATATTGAAGTTTTAATCATGGGAAAAAAACGATGTGCGACGGCAAATTTTGTACAAACAAAGTTCTTAATGAGATGCGCATTGATTGTGCAATTAAGGTCTCTTGAAAAAACATAACGGCCGAAGGAATTTTACAATAAATGAAGAATGAAAAGAGCTAGAAAACTATGGTTTTCATTATTCAATAGAGAAGATCCATAGTCATCAAAATTAAGCCCAAAAAGCAGATAGATAATAGATACAAAATTTAAATGAGTGAACTTTAATTGATATTCATTCAAGAGTCTTTTTGATAATATCAAAATTTAGGCTCTACATAGAACTATAAGATTAGGAACTTTCAAAGTGATTCTCATTCAGGATCGAAAAAAGTGATTTTGTAGATTATTAGTCAGAACAGAAAACATCACGGAACTAGTTTTAGCAAGTTTTAAGTCTCGGTCCTGTAAAGATTAAAATTTGATCTCTATAGGATCAATTTGCAGACTCCTAAGGAGTAAATAACGAAGGAATCGGCATGTGTAGACTTTCCTATTATCCATCAAATGAATAATCTTTCTTTCGAAACATGATTTGATATTTCGAAAGGTTTCCTCATATTATTTTTTGTATTTAAAATATATAAAAATTTTATTATTTAACAAAAAAAAAAGGAAAATGGATTTCTTCGTTCTGTATTCAATTTGGACGATTTAGAAATAGAAGATATGCAACAATCAAAAGGCAATCGATTCGAACGAGTATGAATCTTATTGAAAAACAAAAAAAAAACCATTAAATTTCTTTTTTTGTATTTTTTCAGCATTTAGCCAATAAAACTGCTTTTAAAATTCGTACTCAAGCACTGAAAACAACTCGTGCTAATAAAGCTATACGTAGTCAATATGACGATTAAATGGTGAAAAATCATATAGTGATTTATTTCGAATGTACTACTCCCTTTACTGATATATTTCTGCTATGTATTTTCAAACAAGCTTTGTCTACACTTAGTAGTTTTTTTTTTCGTGATAAAAACCTGAATATTTTTCATCAAGTTTTTATCATTCTATCTTCTATTTTTGTTTTGAATAAAGCTAGCATAAATAAGTATATCTTGTAATAGTTTGTTTGTTTGTTTTTTGGTTTTTTTTTTTTTTTTATTTAAAAATGAAAATCAAATAATGATCGTAGTACATGTTCGAAATAAACATCTTCTTTCACTGTAGCACTAAGCATTGAACAAAAACCAAGAAATTCTTCTTTATCAATAATACCATCTTCATGACCACGTGTATCAAATTTATTTAAAAAATTATGAAGAGCCTAAAACAAGAAAAACTAATTATATTTTATATTCTAGATTATATTTATTATTTGATATATTACGTATGTTAATTATTACTAATCTATTAAAAAATTCTAACAAAATAATACTTAATTGATTTTTCACAAAAACAAAAAAAAAAAAAAACATTACTAATTCTAATAGAATTTTTGTTATTGAATTCTTTGTAAGGATATTTTTGAGTTCTTTTAGAATATGTTAACTTGACATAGCTTATATATTTAATGATTTGATTGTTGACAGTTGAAATTAGTTTCAATTATATTTAGATGAATCGACATAAAAATTTATAGAATACGAAAGTTTTTATCACAAAAAGAAGATTAAAATCGTTCGACTTTTGTCTTAATCTCAACGTTTCATACATGAATAAATCATGTTGATAAACTTTTTTTAAATTATCATTTCATTATATCTTCTCGAAAAGAAATATCATTTCGACATGTATTTACAAAGTATTGTGTTCAAACTTCAGTATCAATAGCCATAATATACCTAATCTTCTAGTTTTAGTTAATATGTATCAGAGGACTTTAGAATTTTATGTCAGACTGGTTTATTGTTCCGAGCTACAACTAATATTTGTTCTAGATATATACACCAACAGATGGAATCCGTCGTAGGCATCTGCAAAGTGGGACCGGGACCAAAATTTTGACTTTTACCGGGACCGGGACTAAAATTTTACTTTTGCCGGGACCGGGACCGGGACCAAAATTTTCAAGCTGGTCTCGGTATTATTATTTATCAGAAACTCGATTCTGCGTTTAGATATTTCTTATATTTTTGTGATCAGAAATCTAAAAAAACAGCAATTTTCTTTACAATTCTGATAAAAATTTTCATCGATCCTCGTTTCAGTTTCAAGAATCGGAATTTTTTCACCATAATACAATTTTTAACTGGCATCGAGTCCAGACCGGGACCGGGACTGAAGAAAAATTTTGACCGGGACGGGACCGGGACTAAAACATTTTTCACCGGGACGGGACCGGGACCGGGACCAAAAAAAATGGTTTTGCAGATGTCTAATCCGTCGTGCTCATAATTATCGGATTCGGCTCTTGACTGAGATATTGTAGCAGCAAGCTAAAAGTTTTGAATTCGAGTCTATATGATTCATATAATCATGACTCTAAGATGATTAATCAATTGAGTAATAGTTCTCTCATTTGTTAGTTTTAAAATTTGAATATCTTACATGATCGATACTTTGACTTGATCTTCTTTTCGTAGGTTTAAGTTGAGAGGGATATTTCATCTAAAATTTTAATCAATTGTTAGTTGTTTTCTTTTTCTTTAACAAAAACAAAAAAAAGAAGACTAATACTTTAAGATCTTTTATTGTTAATGTTCCATCTTTATCAACATCTATTGAATTAAATACATTTAAAGCAGCTTTTTGACGTCGTTCATTCATTGGTGGTCTTAATTGTTGAAGAAATTCTGAAAGATCAATTTGACCATTTTTAGTTAAATCAAATTGATGGAAAAGTTGTTTAATTTCATCATCATTATTAATACCAAGTCGAAGAGCTTTAATAGCTGCACGAAATTCTTCATATGTTATACGACCAGAACAATCTAATTTTAATTGAAAAAAATAAATTTAATTAAAAAAAACAAAAAAGAAAATTCTACATCAAAATAAAAATTAAACCTTGATCAATAGCTGAAAATATTTCAATTAAATCTGATTGTTTAGTTACACTTTGAAGTAAACATTGACGAAGTTTTTCCATAGTTTTCTCTTCAAAAAAAAAAAAAGAAAAATGAATGTACATTAACCTATGCATTAGAAAATAACAGGAAATGTTCAAGTTTCATTATTTTTTTTATAAAAATTATTCATCTAAATACCTACACTTTTTTCTTTTTTGTTCTCCTATAAGCTATTAAATTGTTTTACTTTATCGTTATATATTATACATACAGAGCCAGAGAGATAGATATCGCAAATATAGACTAAAACGAATAGAATAAAGATAACAGTTTTATTTTGGGAATTCACATTATATCCTGTGTGCTTACTAATAATTTATACTTTTTTTTTTCCTTTTTCTTTATGACAACAACTGTTGGCTAATATCACGTCGACATATCTCTAATTCATATAGAGATAAAATTGTTAAGAATAACTGAAGTTATCGATTCATATTCATTATAGACTACTGACAGGAAATAGAAATATTCATGTGTAGACATAAAATAAAATAGATTTAATCAACATATTAATATGTAATGACATAAACAAACAAAAAAAAAACAAAATAATAGGACGTAGTTTTCATATGTCAGTCATCATTAATGATTCATTGATATTTGTTCGACTCATGTAATAAAGCATTTTGTCGAAGACGTATTTGAAAAATTTTAGCTCTTAAAAAATTTCTTTGTTGTATTTCATTGATTAATCCTGATCGTAATCGATCATTGACTTTTGAAGATTGTTCAGATGTTTTCATTGATGTTTGTTTGATTTTATCTTTGCATTTCAATGGTAATCGAATAGAATTCGATTGATTAGTATGATAAGAGATTAGATTAGAATAAGAAAATGGAAGTAATTGTTGACATTTATGATCGTTTTCAACATTATACTTATTTTCTTTATGTAAGAGATTTATATGTTGACGTGAATGTGTAATTAATTCTGGATGAAAATGTTTGTGAAATTGTTGAACATTTATAGATTGATTATATTGAGGATACAATGATGTTTGTTTGGAATAATATTTTGGATTTTCAAGTACGATTAGTTGTTTACGATGAATATGTAAACATGAAAGAAGATCTTCACATCGATGTGCTAATTCAGATAATTTATCATTGATATTAGTTGATTTTTTTTGTTGATAAGACGAAATAGAATTGTCTGTATGATTATTATTCTTATTTTCTGGAATATTAAATCGTACTCGATGAGTATTATTATTAACAATAGAATGATTTGAATGAATTGATTGATTATGAATAGATAATATAGATTTTTTTTCTTGTTCTTTTAATATTGTTTTATTAAATGAAGATTGATTTTTATTATGTTGTTGATGAATATAATTATCATTATTAATTTTTTTATCATCTAAATAAATAAAAAATTCTATTGATTTTTTTAATTTCGATTTTGAATTAATATTTAAAGAAGTTGTATTTTGTTTATCATATTTTTGTAATGTTTGATAAATTTCATGTAAAATATATTCAGCTTTTTTACGTTTATAACGTGTATAATGTATTAATTCATGTATATATTCTTCATTACATTTATAATTACGTACTATTTCTTGTAGAGTATCAATAGAAAGTAATGTAGATAATTGATCATTATTATGTTTTGTTTGATTCATTTTATTTGAAGGACTTGATTTTCTATTGAAATATAACTCTTATGAAGAATACATTGAATTGATGAAGAGTAATAACGAGAAAAAAAAAGGAGAAAGAATAAAAGCAAAAAAAATAACGACAATCGTTTATGTGCCTATGGCAACAATCAATGATGCGATATATTTCATCTTCTACTATACACATTATTTTGTTGCTTTCCTTCATCCGTATGATTTTTCTTGAACCTATGTGCAATAAAAAAGAAAGAAAAAAATCATCATTGATTTATTTCTTACGTAAAATTAAAATATCTTTATTTTATTTTAAGAAAATTAATAAAATGTTAGGTAAATCACCTGTTATTAAGATCGTACTTTTTGGTATTTTTGCTTTTGGTATTGGTGTTATTGTTCTAAATGCTATTTCATATGGTCGACGTCAAAATGATCTTAATCTAAATGAAAAACATAATCGATTAGGAATGTCAAGTCATGATACTGACGAAACAATTGCTAGTAAAACTGGTTCTAAATCGACAAGATTACCTATGAAAAAAATAGATATTTTTAAAATACCTATTCGAACATATAAAATACCATTGAATAATGAAACAGTATTGATTCATTTTTATTAAACATTAACAAAAAAAAAAAAAAACATTTATTGTTTTATATTTAGCATAAAAATATTCTTGTTCATGAATCTGGTACAGGAGATCGACATGTACTTCTACTTCATAGTAAAAAATATTCGTCTGAAATATGGAAGAAAATTGGTAAAAACTAATATTTAGATTAAATTTAAATAAATATAATTTATTTTAGGTACACTTCAATATTTAAGTAGTTGGGGTTATCGAGCATTTGCTATTAATATTCCACTTAGTGAAAATAAAACATTACTTTTCAATGAAAATAAAGCAATAGTACAATGGTTTAAAAAACTTATTAAAACATTACAATTATCAAATTTAGTTATTATTAGTCCATCTATAAGTGGTCGATTAACATTACCTTATATGTTTAATTTAAATAAACAACAAGAATTAATACGAGGTTTTGTTTATATTTCTCCAATTGGAACAGAACAATATAATATATCGAAATATGAAGAAATTGAAGTAAGTTAAAAAAGATTTTAAATAAGAATTTATTTTATTTATTTTAATTAAGATTCCAACATTAATTGTTTATGGTAAACAAGATACAAAATTTTTATCAGCATTTGAAATTCTTAAAAAAATTCCTACAAGTGAAGTTTTATTAATTAAAAATGGTTCACATGATTGTTATTATGAATATCCAGATAAATTTCATCATGGACTTCGACGATTTCTTGATAAAATTTATCGAATAAATTATCAAAAAATTCGTAAATTTTCAAAAAAAGAAAATTTTTCTTCTTATATAAAAAAATCACAAGAAAAACAAAAGCAATAATTTCAAATATGAAAAACAAAAAACTGTGATATGAATTTTTTTTTAAAGATCTTCATTTCTTTTTTTCCAATGTTTTTGTTTTTTTTTTCTCAATTAAAGATAATAAATAATTTGCATTTATGGATTAACATAACACTATAGATTTATTTGTTGATGATACGAATT